GATGGCCCCCAAATGGAGACATTTATTATGATGATATGCCTAGCAATGCCTCATAATTAATGTTTAAGAAATTGGATATGGTTTATTCTTTTTTGCATATTAGTACATCATATAAAATGCATTATGATCGATGTTTTGAATTAATATCATTAAAATATTCACTTGTGGTGGAAGAACTTTCTTTGTAGCCAGAGATTCACAATCATATTTATAATATTTATGCTTTTGAAAGCCCACATATATTTTGCTCACCAAATTGGAAGGTGTAGTAAATATAGCTCAAATATAGTAAACATTAAAAAAATACACTAACCTGTTGCGCTAATAAACGTTAAAGGAAAAAGTCAGGGAGTTGTTAAGTCAACAGTATCCATGGTGCTAATAAACCTGGTATAACCTCATCAGGGCAGGAGGTGTGGATGCTTAGTTTTGCAGTCCCAGAAACACAAACGTGTTAGCAACTCCAAATTGAGTAAGTTCTTGGAAATCCACTTTCATTAACCCGATTGTCAATAAGTGAGAGGATGTGTACTTCAGAAACCCTAGCCCAGGAGAATTTGTTATTAGGAGCAATGAAATAGGCTAAGCCTCCCTCTATGTCTTGTTTCTCTGAGATGTATTTTTTATTTTAAAGAATCCTACCCCCCTTTTTTTTTTACTTCACAATCTTTAAAGAATTTTTTAAAAGTTAGAATTTACCACATACAACTTCTGAGTCAATGTAACAGAGATACAGCTTCTAGTTGAATGGAAGAAAAGGGAAGGGGGGAATCATATTTAGATTTTTGTAATGTGAGATAGAGAGCCTCAGTACTTAGGATTCAGGGTACCACCTTTTCTATCTCAGGGCAATCAGAAGGGCAAATAAACAATCAGAGGCTGTGAAAAAATGCTGAGACTGTAACAGCCCCTGAAACTGTGAAGGAACCGAGAAACCAAAAAATAACTCCAACAAATCCATTTTGTTGAGTAGATGAGTTGATAGGACTTGCATACAGGCCACTCCTGGATGGCAGCAGGACAGCTCTAGAGTTCAGCACTAAGTCCTGTGTCCACACTGCTTGTAAGCTAATTTTCTGGCCCTTTGCCTACTGTGTTTGAGCGATAAGGTTATTCTCCTTGCTAGGTTCTCAGACACTCTCTGGGATGTGTGGGTTCTCAGGGACGCCTGCTCCTCAGCGGGCACCATGACACTGCCTCACCACTCAGTCTTCGGGGTTTATGCAGTGAACAGATACCCTTAGGCAGCCTGGTTGGGGATCTGTCACACTATACCAGAACACAGCAGAATTTACAAGAATCACTTATTCATTGTCTTACCAGATATTTGCTATAAACTAAGGTTAACCTTAATGAATTCTCTTTGTTGTTTATTAAACCATTCCTCTGTAATGTTTTATGTCCACCAGATAAGACACTTGACAGTGCTAGATATACATCAATAAATTATTGCCCAATTGTTCGTTTTTGTGTTCTACATGCAGACCACTTCCCTACTTTAACTCATCATTATATTAAGCAGATAACAGCACAGATTCTTTCTCCCATGGTTAAACTGTAGCTTTGAGAATATATTCTGGCCACCATAATTTGATTGAGGCACTCTGTTTTTATTACACTCATGAGATGACTTGATCATTTTGCAAAAGGCTTGTTAGTCTCATTGATATCCCTTTCACATACTGTCTTAGAGATGGCTGAGCCTATCCATTTTATATTGATTTTATTGGTTGTATTTCAAAGAGGGAGCTTTCTGACCTCTCCCTATGAGTAAATTAAATATATGATTACACAGTCTTTCTGGGGATTCTAGCAAAAAGCAACACAAGTCCACCAAAAGCTTACTGGGAAATGTGTGAAAGACTGTAATTTAAACTTGGACTAATCAGGCTTATCGTTCATTCTTTCATTACATTTTTTTCTTGAAGTCTCATCAAAGATTAATCGTTTATCTAAGGAGTCACGTAACAAAGGGAATAATGATAACCAACATTTCTAAAGTTGTGTGTTTAGGATTATCAAGCACTTTAATATATATTATTTCCTTTGATCCTCACAGCACTGGTAGATTGTGATGTTTAGTATCTTCCAAACTTTTGACTAGAAAAGTGGTTCCTGAAATGTTCCCACACCAGCAGCATCAGTATTACCCAAGAGTCTGATAAAAATGCAAAACCTTGGTGCTCTCCAGGAGTACTGAATCAGAAACCCTGTTGTTTTGTTTTATTTGTATATATCACAATACTTTTTCTCATTATAAGGTATTCAAACCTTTTGGATATAAGGATGGTGGGGGCTCCCCTGCCAAATTGCCTTCCTCTCAAAAGAAGGCATCAGTTGTGTTTGCTACTCAGACTTCTTCACCATCTACTTCCCTCTGCTTTCTTCTGTGGGATGCTTCCATGCTCATTTGCTTTAAGTGAGCTACAATCCACAACATCCCCACCCACTGCCTCTAGAGCGAGCATTTTTAGCCAAGATAATTAGCCCGTCATGTTTCCTTAACACAGTAATTGGACATGGACAAGGCATATGACCAAATTAAACTAGGAACATTAAGAATTTTGATAGATCATGCTCCTAAGTATATATACTAAAGAAATTTTCTCACAGATCCACCAGGGGCCAAGTGTCATGATTACTGTAGTAATGTCTGTTTTATTCACTGATGTGTCTCATGTACATTAAACAGTTCCTGCACAGTGTAGTGCCCATGATATTTATAAAAAATAAGTTGGTTGTTTGTGGAAAGTAGAATTGGAGGCAACCTGATTGTCAATGAAAGAAATAGGAAAAATATGATGGATGCATACTGTGGGGTGTTATACAGCAAATAGAATCAATGGATTAGATGTTCAATAGTAATGTAATTGTAACATAAAAACATAGTGCTTAGCAAAACAGTAGGAAATATAATGAATTGTTTATGTAAATTAAAACGCAATTACACAAATAGTACGTATTTTGTGAAAATACAATAAAAAGGTATACAAGTGGTATATATGATAGAAAACACATAGATGGATACATATGTGAATACTTAAGGGGCCTTGAAAGGGCCAATGCTGATGTGTCATGAACTGAAAGATATGCTTGACTCAACCTCAAGGACCTGAGGTTTCAAAAGTTGCTGGGAATTCTGAGAAAGTGGTTCCTCTCCCTCTGCATGAAATCCACTTGGGATATAGCACTAGGAACGATAGGAAAAGAGAGAAACTGGAACCTGATTACATCATGAAGAGACCCCACATCAAGCCTTGCCAGAAGTGTGTTCAACGCCGGTTATCTAGCTCCATTTCTCCTTGCTGTTACTGTAAAAGATCTTTTGAATATAGTCTTGTAAAAAAACTTATAACCAAGAAAATTCTGATCATGTCTTTTTTTGTTTTCCTCAATTGAGTTGTGAAAATACTATTCAAATTTGCTGCCTCCATTCCACGACACACACTCACTCATGCACACGGTGAGGCAATCTGATGTGGATGCCTTCACCTGTCTACTGAAACTGCTTTTATTGTTACCAGTAATCCCCTCATCAGGACATATGTTTGCTGCCTTCTTAAAGTGCTCTCCTGCTATCGTTTAATTGATTATTCATCCTCAGGCTTTTCCACTGGATCTTTCTCAAATATAATGATTATCAGTCCATGATTGCTGAAGATAAATATCTAACCAACTATGTATAACAGGCCCTGTAAATTGGGGTGGATGGACCAACCAGTGAAAACAGCCACTGGCCTGTAAACAAAGGACATGGTCTGTTTGTGTAGTGCTGGCTGAACTTCAGCCTGGGTGGAAACTATTTTTATTAATACTATTATTGTTATTAACCTCCAGAGTACTCTGTTAATTCTCTGTGTCTTACATTTTCTTCCGGAACTAAATTATCCAATGAACTAAATAGCTTTACTATCACTTCAAAACTAAAGACTTCAAAATCTGTATTTCTTTTTTTTCCACTTTGAAAAATTATTTTTAACTGACATGTAATAATTAGACATATTTATGGGGTAAAATGTGATGTTCCAACATATGTATACATTGTGGAATGATGAAATCAGAGTAATTAGCATATCCATCATCTTAAACATTTATCATGTCTTTGTGGAGGGGACAGTTAAAATCATCTCTTCCAGCTCCTTTGAGATACATAGTACTTCATTGTTGACTACAGTCACCCTACAATGCAACAGGACACCTGAATTTATTCTTCTTTTCTAACTGTAGTTTTGTGCTCATTGACCAACCTGTCGCCCTTACTCCTTTCCTCCTCTCTTTCTCAGTCTCTTGTGTCTTCTGTTCAATTCACTACTTCCATGAGATCAACTTTTTTTAGATTCTACTTATGAGTAAGAACAGACAGTATTTGTCTGTGTCTGGCTGATTTCTTTTAACATAATGTCCTTGAGTTTGTCAAATGGCAAGGTTTCATTGTTTTTTAAGGCTGAAGAGTATTCCATTGTGTAAATATACCGTCTTTTCTGGATCCATTCATCCATTTTGAAAATTTAGGATGCTTCCCTATCTTGGCTATTGTGCATTGTGCTACGGTAAATATGAAAGTACAGATATCTTTGTGGCATATTTTATTTCTTTTAAATATATATCAAGTAGTGAGATTGCTGGATCATATGGTATTTCTAGCTTTAATTTTTTGAGGTACCCCCATACTGTCTTCCATAATGGTTGTATTAATTTATAATTCCACCAACAGTGTGTAAGAATTCCCTTCTCTTCACATCTTTGGCAATATTTGTTACCTTTTATCTTTTTGACAGTAACCATTCTAACTGGCATGAGATGAAATCTCATTGTGGTTTTGATTTTAATTTTCCTAGTGATTAGTGATGTTGAACATTTAAAAATATATCTATTGGTAATTTGTATTTCTTTTGTGAAATATCTATTGTGATCTCTTGCTCATCTATTAATACAATTATTGTTATTATTTGCTATTAAGGTGTTTGAGTTTCTTAAATACACTGGATGTTAACCCTTTGTCAGATGTATACTTTGTAAATATTTTCTCCCATTCTGTAGGTTGCCTCTTTACTCTGTTGATTGCTTCCTTTGCTGTGCATAGGTTTTTAGTTTGCTATAATCCTATTTGTATATTTTTGCTTTTGTGTCTTTGCTTTTGAGGTCTCACTCAAAAAATCCTTGCCTAGACCAATGTTATGAAACATTTTCCCTATGTTTTCTTTTAGAAGTTTCACAGTTTTGGGTCTTACACTTGAGTCTTAAATCCATTTTGAGTTCATTTTTGTATATGGTAAGATATAGGGGTCCGGTTTTGTTCCTCTTCATGTTGACATGCAGTTTTTCAGCTCCGTTTATTAAAGAGACTGTCCTTTCCTCAATGTGAATTTTTAGCATCTTTGTTGAAAAGCAATTGGCTATAGATGCATGAATTTATTTTGGGAATTTCTATTCTGTTCCATTGGTTTATGTGTCTGTTTTTATGCCAACACCATGCTGTTTTAGTTACTGTAGCTTTGTAGCATATTTTGAAGTCAAGTAGTGTCAGGACTCCAGCTATTTTTTTCTTCAATATTGCTGGCTATTTGAGATCTTTTGTTGTTCGATGCAAATTCAAATTGTTCCTGTTTGCAGACAACTTGATCTTATATATGGAAAACTCTAAAGACTCCACCAAATACTGTTAAAACTAATGAAGAAATTCAATATAGTTGCAGGATACAAAATCAACATACAAAATTCAATAGCGTTTCTATACACTAATAGTAAGCTACCTGAAAAAAAATCAAGAAAATGATTCCATTTATAACAGCTAACAAAAAAACAAATAAGATATCAAGGAATAAATTTAAATGGAAGAGTGAAAGATCTCTGCACTGCAAACCAAAAATTATTGATGAAAAAAAGAGGATACAAATAAGTGGAAAGATATCTTGCATTCACGGATTGGAAGAATGAATATTGTTAAAATGTCATACTATCCAAAGCTATCTACAGGTTCAATACAATTCCTATTCAAATACCAATAATATTCTTCACAGAAATGGGAAAAGGCAATCCTAAAATTTGTGCAGAACCATGAAATCTGTATTTCTATTCCTGACTCCTGAACTCCCAACCTAATTTTCCTGCTAACATAGAGAAATATATTAAGATTAAACATTTTTAAATATTAAAATGTACTAAGATGGAACACTTTAACTCGGCATCGACTGAAATTCTCTTTCATACTGCATATCTTCTCTAGTAATGGCATTATCAGTGACCAAGTCTCAAAAAGCTAGCAGTGATGTCATTGTTTTCTTCTCATTTCTTCAATCTTTTACCCTCCCTCCACCCAAGCTAGTTTATCAGCAGCCAGGTACTATAGATTTTATCCCATGTTTTTTTCAAATGTGTGTGTCCTTTTGTCAACAGCTCACTACTATCATATTAATTTTAACCTCACAATTTTAAATCCATATTATTGCATGAGCCATATGACAATCTGCCTACCTCTAATCTCCTGATTTTCTAATTCATCTGTTTGTTTTTTTGTTTTGTTTTTGTTTGTTTGTTTTTGAGATGCAATTTCGTTCTTGACCAGGCTGAAGTGCCATGGTGCAATCTTGGTTCACTGCAACCTCTGCCTCCTGGGTTCAAGCAATTCTTGTACCTTAGCTTCCCGAGTAGCTGGGATTACAGGCATGTGTGACCACACCTGGCTATTTTTTGTATTATTAGTAAAGTTGGTGTTTCAGCATGTTGGCCAGGCTGATCTTGAACTCCTGACCTCAGGTGATCTGCCCGCCTCAGCCTCCCACACTGCTGGGATTACAGGCGTGAGCCACCGTGCCCAGCCACTAATTCATCTTATGCATTGCTGTTGGAATTTTTTCCCTTAAATCACGGGTTGGATCATATCACATGTCACTTGAGGTCTCAAGTAATATTCAGTGGTTTCCTGCTGTCTACAGAAGTCTCTATGCCTGTATGTAGTATTCCAAACAATTCCTGAAATGGCAAAATGAGAAACTCATCTTCTACTGCATCATTTCAAGGAACTCTAAAATTCAATCATTTATGGTTATTGTCATTCTGGAGGATAGAAGGAAATCCTGGGCTTCTATGACTTTTTAAATATCATTTGTTGAGCTTGACTTGTACTTCTCTATTTATGGAAGCCTTTTCTTTAAGTTCCAATTCAAGGTTACTGTTTCCCTAAGGGCTTCTTGAAACATCTAGCTATAATGGACAACTTCTTCAATTATAATTCTATAATATGCTCCTTTTGCTCCAGCTAGCACTTACCCAAATTAACCTTGTAACATGACTTTTCCATTCACGATTATCCTCGTGAGATATATCCCATGAGAACCGGGATCCAAGAAGTCTTTTGATAAAGATTCTGTTTTATACAACTTTGGGACTCGATTTCAAAAACAGTGGCAAATACGCACCCAATAAATGTTTTATTAAATTTAACATTTATAAATGTTTATGAAAACTTCCCAAATCATGGAATAATGAAAAATATATAAATAAAGCTATAAACCTACATCCTCTAGAAAACCCTAAATATACATTTACACAGAATTCTGCATATAATTTAATGGGATTTGTGGTGGGCACTTGGACTCGCCTTCTAACATTTGTTCCAAACCCATTCTGGTGTACAAAGGCTAGAAAGCTTAAAATTAGTTTTTGCAGGCTCATATGAAGCATTTCAATTCCAGTTTTATAACTACATCATTCAAAATATATTACCCATCATCTCCTCTTATTGCGGCCACTCTCAGACCCTGGAGTCACTCTTGACATTGATGGTTTCAGTTCCTGGCTTTCTTGTCATTCCTTCTAACACAACATATTTTGTAACTCAAATTATTTCAGTATCTATGTAGATATCCTTTTCAACATGTTTGAGTTCACAGTTCCAGAGAACTTCCGATTTCCTACCTTTTAAGCATGCTGCTTCTATTATCCCGCTGCAGGACTCTCCTATGACTAAGACAAAATCCAATGATACTATCGATTTCCTGCGACTATTGCACCGTTCATCTTTCTAAAAACACTTTTGCTTATGACTTCCACTGTCTCGCTTCTCTTTTCCTCTTTCATACTTGGAAAAGTACTAATGCCAGTTATAGCCAATGCTCTGTAAACGTTGCCAGCACGTGAGTATTGAAAATGACTGTAGAATATCAAACAACCATGCTGACTACTCTTACTTAAATTCATGACCTCAGCTACACTCTGTGCTGCCTTGAAATTCTGCATTTCACCATTTTATTTACTCTAAACTAGATGGGATATAACATGCTTTCTTTTCTCAAGCCTCAAAAATGACATTCTTCCATTCCCCCGCATCCTCACTCTTAGTTCACTGAGAAAATATAAGCAATCAAGAAGGGTTTTGCAAACTATCACCATATGCTTGTCTCCTGCTAGACTAGATGAATTTGACTTATTTTCTGTGAACTTTGACTTCTCAAACATAATTCTCTTACTTTTGTTTCTCTTTCTCTCTCGCATCACCAAATTTTCACTCTATACTAATCATTAAATCAGAATGTAAATATTCTATATTGTTTATTTTAAAACTCGTTTAACCCACACCTCCGTCAGCTATAGCCCTTTGAAAGAGTTGACTATGTTGTCTACTATTTCTTTTACTTCATTTTCTCTTTTATCTACTCTAATCAACCTTCAATCCAATTGTCAAAATCACCAACAATTTCAACACAGCTATACCTAATGGTCAATTTACTGTCCTTGTTTTTATTTGACTTGTCAACAGTATATCACTCTCTCTTGAAACTTGTTCTTTACTTAGCATTTGGAATATAACTCTTGGTGTTTTTCTTAGTGTCACTTGCTAGGTTCTCCTCCATTCCCCTAATGCTAAACCGTGGAGTACTCAGGGACTCAGAGCCGGGGTCTCTTCCCCTTTCTGTTTTCACTCACTCCTAGGTGATATTATCTAGTTAATGGCTTTAAATATTTTGTGAATGTTGATAAATCCCAAATTTATATCTCTAGACTTGTCCTCTCCCATAAACTCCAAATATACATCCCACTACCAACTTAACGTTTCTACTGGATGTCTGTCATGTTTCTTAAATTTAACACGTTATCAATGAAACTCTCTATTTCCCTTACTTTAAACATGTTCTGCTTTCCATCTTCATCATCTCAGTTAGTGACAGTTTTATTTTTTTAGTTTGTCAGGCTAAAAGTGTTGATGTCATTCTTGACTTACCATTTTCTCTTACATTTGACAGCAAATCCTGTAGACTCCACCTTCAAAATCCATTCAGAAACTGCACCTTACTACTTGAGTCGTCACTATCCTGGTCCAACGAATCATAGCTTCTTGACCGGATTACTGCAGCCTCTTTACTGCTTTCTCTGTTTCTTTGCTGACCCAACTAGTTTATTCTCCAAAGAGCAGTTAGAATAAAATTATTAAAAATGTCAGTCAAGTCATGTCACTCTTTCACTTGGAGCCTCTCAATGTTTTTGTATTTCATGCAGAAAGGCAGCTGAAGTTCTTAGAATGATTTAAAAAGTACCACTCAATCCAGACTGCTCAGGGCCACTCTAACCTCATGGTCTTCTGCTCACTCTTTTGCTGACGTTGTCCTTTCTCCACTGGACTTATTTGCTGTTTCTTGAATATACCTGGCACATACCTGCCTTAGAGCTTTTAAAGGCATTCTTTTTCCTTCCTAGAATATTATTCTTCCATATATCTTTATAGCTTGCTTCCTTGCTTCTTTCAGGTTTCTTCTCAAATGTTACCGTAATTACCATACATCATTGAGGTTTTTTTTGACAGAGGTATATACAATAATAATTCTACCTTTTCTAATACTACTTTTTCCCCCTTATCCTAATTTTCTTAAAATCATTTGTTACCACATGGCCTACTACATGAAGACTTTGATGTTGTAAAACTTGTTTATTGCCTGCCTCTACAAAGAAGGAATTTGTTTATTTTGTTCACTGCTGTATCTCCAACACCTTGAATAGTAATAAAGTACATGGTGGGTATTGTAAGATGGAACAACGAATGAATGAATCAGATATAGTCTCCAAAAACATTATAGCCTGAGTCATGTTGAGATAGGGCGGTAAAACGTTCTTCTATTTTCTGTCCCAGGTCATGACACAAGTAAAGTGG